AACCTCTGTAATTTGCCATAAATTCACTCCATATATGTGGGTCTAGAGTGTCTTCTGAGGGCATGCCAGCTTTCTTAAGTAACCTCTTAACATTCTTAATTGCTCCTTGTCCTTTGTGATGCTTGACAATAGTCAAAGCCGTAAATCCCCCTTGGGTACTTTCAGAGCTACCCATCTTAAAACTTGTAAGGGTTAATTACTTCCTTACACAAGACAAACTGTACAAAAACAGTGTATTTAAACACTTAGGACCGCTGCAGTGGAATTTTCACAGTTTTTGTCTTCTAAACACAGATCAGGAGATCTGCCCTTGGAGGATTCTAACTCAAATTATAAAACAAATGACAAGGCAAACAATAAAAATAACTTACAACCCACAGTTATATTCCACTATCTCAAGATTCCTTTCACAAGACATAACACAACCTCCAACTGAATATAACCATAATACCACAGAAAACAAGTTCTTTAGATCAGACGTTTTTAAGTCGTTCTTTACCCAGACAGACTAGTAGGACGTGGATCTGAGAGCGAAATTGATAAAGGTAGAAAAAAGTTTTTCTTACCTTCCTGTACAGCTGATTTCACTGTCAGAGGGACGTCCACCTGTACGCTAGTGTCCGAGTCTCTCGACCGTCAGATCCCGGGTTTCGGCACCAAATTGTTGTGGATCAGAAATGTTGATCTTTGTTATATTCAGAGGAAGCCCAAATTGTTGTTACAAGTGCACTTGGAGAAGCGAGAATTAGACACCAGACACCTGTTGGTATTCAAAATAAGCCTCTGACGTTTTATTCATCAGCTGGGTTTTATACATTAAAAAGTAAGTGCTTACATGCAAATACTCTTAGAACAGTAATAGGAAGAGAATACAGATAAGACATAGGGATGAGCGTCATGTACCCATAACAAATAAGTTTCAAGGTATGAGAGAACAAAATGATTAGAGCAGAGACATCTTAGGTGGGGGCTCTCTGCTCCCGGAACTTAGACATATATGGTCTTAAGTGTTGTTTAAGCATCAAGCATTTCCTGAGTCCAAGTTAGCCAATTTTAATATAGGATATCATTATATGACACCTATAAGCTTGAGCCTTGGAATCAAGATAAATTCTATCACAGTCCTTAAGAGGTTATAAGATAGAGCTTCATTCTAGCCGTTGCACAGGTTGCTTTAAGTTAATGAATGTATTTATTTGTTAATAAAATGTTTTACCATGAAGGATTTCTCTCACTTAGCAGAGTGCATAGAACAGTGTACATTTTTGGATGGCTAGTTTATTTTAATAAGAACATTTCCAAATAAATTGAGCTGTGTGAAAGGTTCATGCGTGGATGCAAGGTGAGATTTTACCCAGCTATCATAAATGTGACCATGCTGTCAAATTTGTTTTACTGCAAAATTGAATGAATTTTTGTCTTTGGCAATAACTCAAACATGCCTTAATCCTGATAGGAAGGTGATGTGGCATTAGCGTTTGTTAGTCCTACTTCTTTTCTTCTTCTTTTTTCAATAAGAGTTGACAAGACACGTCTATAGAACAAATTTATTGTTTGTAAAATCTCAATGAATGTCTACATTCATGGACACTTGTGTCTGAAGGTTACACTAGACCTTTTGAGGAATATTGACCTGTGATCTCAGATCCATCATTTGTTGAGTACAGTTTATAAGTCTAGCTCTTCCATCTCCTATTGGCTGTGTGTAATTTGTTATCAAAAACTTTTGAATTTCTCATAACCAACCTAAGATTCCTGTCCTCTGCAGAAAGGGCTGGAAATTTGTCTGGAAAGGAGGAAGTAGGCTTCTGGTGCTGATGATAGCCTGGTCTCTGTCAAGTCACTTCCAGATGACTTAACATAAAATTTGGGACTGTACCCAAATCCTCTGAGCAGTATAACCATTAAACGTAGTGCCAGGTCCAGCTAGGGTTAACCCTTTTTTTTATAAACATAGCAGTTTCAGAGAAACTGGTATGTTTATAAATGGGTTAATCCAGCCTCCAGTGGCTGTCTCTTGACAGCCGCTAGAGGCGCTTGCGTGCTTCTCATTGTGAAAATCACAGTGAGAAGATGCCAGCGTCCATAGGAAAGCATTGTAAATGCTTTCCTATGAGACTGGCTGAATGCGCGCGCAGATCCTGCCGCGCATGCACATTCAGTCGAAGAGGAGGAGAGGAGGCGGAGAGGAGGAGGAGAGCTCCTGGCCCGGCGCTGGAGAAAGAGGTAAGTTCAACCCCTTCCTCCCCCCTCAGCGCCACGGGGGCACCCTCAGGGCACTATAGTGCCAGGAAAATGAGTATGTTTTCCAGGCACTATAGTGGTCCTTTAATCTCATCATATTGGATATGTTTGTAAGAATAGTACATATCCCTTAACTATATCACTTGACCCTTAAGACTGAGTATGTTTTACATCTCTCCAGCTGAAGGGATTCTACCACAGTCTTCTTCCTTAAACTTGTCACTGATATTTCATAAAAGTCCCCTATTAAACACCAAGTACCTAATTCACTTACTTTGTTTTTTGTTATGAGCAGAGTTTTTCTTTTTCGGGGCTGACGGGGGGATCTTTTAACATGAACACTCACAGCTGGGTGCTCTTTTTTTTAGCATATACATAGAGAAGGGACATCAAATTTAGTCTGATTAGCACAGGGCATATAGAAACTCTTATAGAGACCTACCTTGTCTCATATTATATGTTGTGATGATTATATGCTACGTAGGTTACATCAGTACCTATATGGTGTCTATGATGCATCTCTCATAGCAGTTTAGATTTTGACTAGTTTTCTGTTGGGTAAAGGTAGTACATTTGTACTCTACAAACTTTTGTATGATTATAGACACAAAGGGTTATTGATAATATATATGGAATTGTCAGGAAATGGCCAAAGAATTTAAAATTTAGGTCATCATTTCCAAATTACAAATAATCCACTATTTTGGCTATTTTTCCAGCTCAGCTATTCTTGGATATTATTTGCAATTTCCCTTTAAATTCTTGTTGATTACCATCTTAATGAAGACCTTCGTAGTGACACAAGAAGCATGAGATTCATTTTACATGATAACTCTTAACGAACGTTTCAATTATGTTATTTTCAGCCTCCATTCTGAGCTTTGAGTCCATTTTAAATTCTTTCTCTAAGATTTCAGAGCAAAGTATTTTTTCCTCCCCGAGGTTAGGACATCTTCAACATTTTCAATTTGTTCTAATTATTCTGGAGAAAAAAAAAGACATCAAAACATAGCTGACATTGAATTTTATAATATAAATGCATCTAGTAATGAAAGCATTCAATAATGCACTCAACAAAAGAAACCAAACCGAGTCGGTAAAAAGATATTTTCTTTTATTTGGGTACATGTCATAGGGTTTTGCTTATTGTACAATGGCCTCTCAAGTCTTCTCACACAATGCAACTCTGTTGATTATAAATAACCACTCTACTGTAATACTTTTTTTTTAAACAGAAGGGTTTTTTATATATTGTATTAACCGTTTTAGTGCACTTAACATTTTCCAGCCATTTAGTGCTTGCATGGTAATAATTGCCTTATGATACCATTTCATTTTACATTCAGGCATAAAGGGGCGTGATACATATACTACTTGTTTGTTTTACCTATTTATTTCTTATCAAATATAGCATGCATTTTGAACGGACATTTTAAATATGCTTGGTAAATTCATCATTGAGTACTGTGTACCAATTTGCTTTCTCGGGAATACACGTACACGTACTACAAATGTATGAATTCATTTATTATTTCTGCCACTTTTGTAGCAGACCGCAGTCGGAAAAACAGTTATAAAACAAAGATTATTATTGTGATAAGATTTACAGTCAATCTTGGGTTGCGGGCGTATTGTTATATCAAAGCAAATAACTAGAACATTGATTAAAGATAGTTTATTTAAAGTATTCTGTTTTATGTCAGGGAAAATATTATTAGAATCATGGCTACCAACTGAGTTTTACGTCCTAATTTGTTATTCAGTTTGTGAGCAGTTTTATCCCAAAGAAGCCTTATAAAATGGAAATTCTACAGAAATATATTTAACTACTATAAGCACTTCATTACTTTCTTTTTTTTTTAAATATAAGAAAACCAAATACACATGAAGTGAATATGGATAATGATTTTTTTCAGAGCTGATAGATTATTGTTTGGAACATCACTAAGAACAAACACTACATTTTATTTAATAAAGACTGTGATTTTAGGGCAAATTCTAAAAGGCTGATGGATCATTGGAGTTTTATGAAGCCTTTTTTTCTGGCGGACATCTTCAGTGGTTTGGTAGACAAAATATTATTAGTCTAATTACACTATATTTTGTTTTAAATATTTGTACAATGTTTAACCTATGCTTTTTCAGTTGTTTTTTTTTCTCTTAGACTTGCTCCTGTATTTTAATAATTTGATAATATACAGATACAATATGTTAGAAAAGGGACAAAAATCGAATTATTAATCCCTTAAGGACCAAACTTCTGGAATAAAAGGGAATCATGACATGTCACACATGTCATGTGTCCTTAAGGGGTTAATCTGCCACTGCCGTGCTTTCTGGACTAATGTATTTGTTTTCAAGAATAATATTTTTAATAGTTCAGCTTAAATTGCACTTTGACTTCAAAATTTTGGCTGAAATATGTGAATTTTAGCAATGTTCCCAATTTGACTATTTTAACTGTAGCAAATTGAAATCTTTAAACACTTGCGCATTTGGATTTGCATATACCTCAATTCGGATGAAAATTGGCTAATTCAGTGGCTCGTCCAAATATAAAATGACCAGATTGTCAAATGAACAAATCAAATGAGCCCAGAATCGCATGATGGATGAAATTCTTCTATGCAATTTGATCATTTGTTGATTTAGAATGGTGAAAAATAAAAAATGAAGAAATAGCATTTTTGTTTATTTTTTTTTAACTTTAAACTATTATCAGATATCTTATTTGATATTCTTAAATATGGCAATATTACACAAGGATACCAAATTAGGGGGCTACCTATTTAACAGCTGAAAGATCAAAATTAATAAAATGTTTGAGAAAGTGTAAGTGATTTGTCTGAAAAAAAAAGTAATGAACTCAATTGCTCAATGGACGAAATTTTGATAATCCGAAACCAAAAACTATCTTCAAACCAAATTCTCAGTAGCCAAGCAGTGATTCAATTTGACTTGGGAAATGTCTTCCAAAAGAGTTTAGCCTAATTAGTGTCTGCCTCTACAACGTGGATTTTAATGAATAAACTAAACCCATTAAATAATTAACCATGATAGTCTTAAAAGGAACACACTAGGCATCAAAACAACTTTAACTTAATAAAGCAGTTTTTGTGTGTATCTGCAATTCTCTGCCATATAGGAGTTACATCACTTTTGTTTCTGTTTATGCAGACCTAGCCACACCTCCCCTGGCTATGGCCCACACAGTCAACATAAAAAACCATATTAAAACACAATGTGTTTAATTTATCTCTATTAATTGAACTTTAATAATGCACAGTAACCTTCTGCAGGTTCTATCTGGTTATAAACAGAGCAGGAGATAATAAATCCTGGAACTAAACAGATTGTGCAATAAATCAAGTTTAAACATTACATCTCTCTTTGCAGGAAGTGCTTAGGAAGACTGTGCAAGTCACATGCAGGGGTGTGTGGCTAGAGCTACATAAATACAGTTATTTACCTCCTGAATGGCAAAGAATTTAGCACTTTTTCTGGTTTATTTTCTGGTATGGTGTTTTTTTGAGCTATTACACTTTTAAGGTGCAACTTTTAGTAGCAAATAACAAAAACAATGTGATTATATAACTTTAGCGCCATCTTTTTTTACTTTTTTTTCTTGACAAAAGATTTTAGCAGTGAAATCGCAGGCACATGATCTATGCACCAAAACCGCTCCATTAAGCTACAGTTGTTTTGGTGCTTGTAGTGTCCCTTTAATTTTAATTAACTAAGCAAGTATCATACACTGTGTGTAATTGTCTTTTAAATTGTAGTTTAACTAATTACTTACTGCAATTATTGTCAACCTTAGGAACATTAATGGGCCCAAAAATGTATCTCTCCTCTTATTACAGTGGAAGGTACTGATGCTCAATATATCTCAAAAGGGACAGCTGTCTGTAAAGGGCGCAAAGTGAACAACGATAATGAACAGATTCACCTTAGAACTAAGAAGATATCATGCAGACTTAAATATGCCCCGTCATGAGAGGGGTGCCAGACCCAGAGCCTTAAGGACACGATCTTAGATGTGGTCACTGTTTGTACATATTGGACAGAACTTTGTTAGAACTGCATGAATCGAGCAACAATATGCAGGATCCCAAGAACTCACAATTGACAGCCAGATATGTTGAATTCTATAATGACTTACCATTCAACCTTTTTCGTTACAAAAAGTATTTTCTTTGGTTTATTTCTGTCATTTTTGTACCCACAAGTTTATCTCTAAAACTTTTTTATAAGTGCCCATATATTTCTCATGAACTATATCCTTTTAAATAGGAATTCATTATAGCAGCTGAGGCCTGATGACATACTCGCTACACATTTATTTTGTATATTAACACTTTTACTGTATATTTTATACAGCGCATTAGAATCAGAGAAAATATTATATTATTTTTTTTTGCATAAATACATACATCTGTTTTCTCCAATGAGATTATCATGCTTTTTCAAAGTTTAAGTACAAAAAATAATAATACAAATAAGAAATCTCCTGCCATTTAACCCCCTGAGAGCACTAACGTATCTGAGAGTGCATTATGGGATACATGCATAATTACCTTGAGGGGTTATCATTGTATCAAAAAAATATAAAATGTTAATAAGCCTCACTGATCATCACAGGTTAACAAATCTTTCTTATCCCATTCCAAACCAGAAGTGACTTTAAGCAGATCTCAAAAACAAACACCTACAAGATACATAGTGTCTCATGTAACGAAGATCAAAGCTTTGTAATTACGTGTTTGTTAGTAGAAGGGCGCAGGGTGGTGTGAGAAAGAAGTGGTATCATCTGTCACATAGGATTGTTGTGGTTATGGTTGTTTAGCTTTGACTTACAATGTTTGTGCCTTTTTGTTTCAAACACTTGAAGCAGATTTCATAGGCTGGCGAACATAAAGCCAGACAATATTAGCGTAAACAGCCATAAGAATTATCAACTGTTCCAGAAGTGGACAGTGTTTCATGCGTGATGCTTTCCAAAAATGTACTGACACATCTAATCTCCATTGATTAAGAGGTCGGATTTTCTATTGCAGACTGGATTTAAAACTGTCTACATAAAGAAGACTGATGCAGTTATGTGAAAACATATAGGCTATTTGTGATCCAAAAAAGGTGACAAATAGGCGCTTATAAACAAAAATATGTCATAAAGCTGCTACCAGGCTTGTGTAAATTTTTCCACAACTATACAAACTATCATGCAAAAGAAGATCAAGCAACTGAGTGGCAAAACAGAGACAACACCAGTGAAATTAGTGGAGCTCTAAAATCATATATTGTTTCAAAATCCAATAAAAATCCAAACTTGCGTGTGTGTGTTACCGGTGGGCTTGGGATTGGAATACTGCAATGTTTGCTAAATCAGTAAGCCAAACTCATAACTTAAAAGATTAATAAAATTAAAATAAAATAACACAATTATTGTGAATGACAAAGCAATCTGCCAAGTATTGTTGTGAAATCATATCTATGAACCACAATGTATGAAATTTGACAACCTTCGTTTAAATGTTGCATAAACCAAGTCCACCAAGCAGTTGACAATCTTTCGGTTGCCCGTCTTGCATGTGAAGTTTCAATAATTTTTAGTCAGTAAAATAAATGTTACCTCAATAGACATAAGAGTTATTGCTGCAATGCATGTGGTAAATAGAAGGTTGTGTACAAAAGGACTAGTATGGTGGAAAACTCCAACAAGTAAATCAACGTGGAAATTGATTAAATGTTTCTACTGACTGCTCACCTTTAAGGATATTGCTCCTTAAATCCCACTTAAAACATAACCCTGACAGTTTTTCACCATTCTACAGATTATTGTGTGCCAAAAAAACAAGCTCTTGGAAACCTGACAATTTTAATAACACACATTAAAATCTCCAGTGAACAGTTTAACGGTGGCTCGTAGTTTTGTATTGTGTTCCATTGAACTTAAGTGCAGTTGGCAAGTGTTTCCTCTTCAAAGGCAAGGATGATGCTTTTTCCTATGAAATTCCCCTGCTAATCTTTTATCATATGAGTCAAACAAAATCTGCATATATCATCAAATCTCCAGCTGTACATCCATGATGTGTGTTTACCCTTCATCAGCAAGTTGTGGTCCATCATTGCTCAAAAATAAAAAAAAATAAAACCTGTGAAACCACACAAAAGGGGAAACACATTTTTCTATGTGACACTTAAACCTTTCAATCCACTAGAAGGAACTGGTACTCTGTGATTCAATTGTATGGCAACGTCTCTCACAGGTTCTATTGACTAACATAGGGTCTGGAGAAGGTTTATTGATGTGAAGCATCTCAAACAAGCCACAAAATGTCATTGTACATTTTCATCTTCAAATATTCTACTGTCAGCAAACGTTTTCTTTTCCCAACATAGTCACGGAGACACTATGCATTCTTTGACCATTGGACCAACTATCTGAAGAGCTTAGTGGAAAAGTCTGTCCAAACTAAACATATCTGGTTGGGCTTAAAGTTGTACAATCACAGTTGTAGTATGTGAATGAACATGCTATTATAGAGAGATCAGACCTCTCCTCTAACCAGAGATACCAACTGAACAAAGTATCACTCAAGTTATTGTCTATTTCATGCAGAGCCTCCTATGAGAGCCGGATAAAAATTTAATTTGGCAACGTCCAACTGTCCTGGGCACTCCATGGCCATCACTTCTAATCATTTATTGTACCAGTAAATAAGAAGTCATTTACAAAAACTAAAAAAATTCAAGCTGTAGTCGTTGAGTGCCAAATCCTTTTTTGGATATGGTTCCTTAAGGGTGTGTTAGAGTCTCTATTATGTGAGTATTAGTAAGTATCAGTACTGAGTAAGTAGTAGTGAGTAAGCATGCATGATTTTTCTTTCATTGACAATGACGGTGCCCCACCATATTGCCTGGTCCAGTATGCAGTATGCTTCAACTAGCTCTCTATAAGTTAAAAAGGTTATTCACTAAACAGAGGTAAAAATAGCTGATCTATCCAAATTCTCCAACTCCGTCATAGTCATTACTTGACTATTTTTGCCTCAGTTTTCCATGTTAGTGTGTGAGATGTCCAATTATCTCACCTTATTATATCTACGGGACCCTTCAGCAAAGTCATTTAGAATCAGCTATAAGTGACTATTGTGTATATTTATATGTATACAGAATGAAAATATTGCCTCAATGTGTAAAACATTGGACTTTCCTATCTCATTGTACTACATCTTTCCTTTCAAATGCTTTATAACTGAAAGCTCTGTGGCTCAGTTTTAGGGTTTACTTGTAAACTGCGAGATAACAATATAAACATTATGGGGACTGACAACATAAATATCCTCACTTTCATTTTCTCTTTAATGACACATCATTAAGATCAATGCTAACATATATCAGAACTGAACCTTGGATGTGGAAGTCAAAGAGCATCGATAGCCAAAATGTAGCCCCATTTTTATTTAAAACGAGTTGAGAATGTATAAAAACGAGCAGGACACAGACTAAGTGGCTAATGGGTAATTGGGTATGATGGGTAGAATAATTATTTTACCATCAGTAATTGTATTATTTATTACTGGCTAATTTAAATTAAAAAAAAGTCAGCATGCTCTACTTCTCACTAACATCTCTTTATAAAATGTAACAGGCTCCTTATTAATCCTCTTAAAATTATCAGGTTCATTGGGCTCTTAACAGACATTTTGATTGATGAGTTTAAGGCCATCTCTGGAAATGTCAATACATGACTGCAATGTCTACAATTAATACCAGGGTGTGTGAACGTGTTGAAGATGGAGGCTTGAAACCTGTTTTTCCCTGGGCAAGTTATTTTCTCTGGGCAAGTTTAAGCAGTGCAGCAGTTATAAAATGAACATTTACCCCTTTAGGAGGCTTTAAACAAAACATGAAACTCATATAGTGTAATATAATTGGTTGAAGGAAAGAAGATTAAATCTAAATTAGATGCACTCACATGGAAGAGAGGCAGCTAGGCTCAAATCCCATCTGCTTGTGTGTCCATAGGTGACACAGTCCCTCTTCTTTTCTTTAACTCAGGTACACTCAAACAGATAGAAGAAACAAAGGTTCTCGTACAATAAATTTAAAAAAATGTAAGATTATGAAAGCAATGTGCAAACAGCTTCTCATCTTGATAAGAGCCTAAGCCTGGCTCTAGTTGCAATAGCAGATGTACCTTCATGGGATTACCACCCTTCATAAAACAGCAACAGCAGAAGAGAATCCACTGGATAACTAGTATATGGCAAATAAATTTAGTGAAAATATTTTTTTAAATCAGATTATACAAATTAAATAAAAATGTACAAAAAAAGTCCTGGTGGTCTTCTTGGTCCAAAAGGCGTTTCATTGTATCCAGATAACTTCCTTAATCGGCCGATTGGTGTGTGCACCAAAGTACACACAAGCAGATGGAAGTTCCAAATTTGGCTCTTTTCCATGCGAGTCTCTCTAATTTAGACTTGATCTTCTTTCCTTCACCGAATTGTATTACACTGTATGAGCTTTTTAAACCCCTTAAGGGCTAAATGTTCATTTTATAAACACTCCACTATTTAAAGTGGTGATTTAGTATCACTTAGTTTATACTTCTAGCTTATTTTGTAATTATGTAATGATTGAAAGAAAATTACACTTGTGTGGCAGCTTCTATATTTTTATTTACCTGTACTCACAGTGCCTTAAGCACCGAACAGAGAACAATATTGTCAGTGCTGTCCTTGGCAAGATTACCATGTCATTCCTCGGTTCTACCGGAGGAAGAATATGTCAAGATGCAATTAAAAAGACATAAGGATGCACCAGAGTGACTCCAAGGGGGAGCAAATTCATTTTGTCATAGATCAATCAATCTAGCAATAAATGGAGGCAATTCTGTCATTATCCTCATGTGGACTCAATCATACAAACTGCACTAACAATGCCATGACCTCTTTAGAGGATGAACTGGTACAAAAAATCCAAGATTACATTTTTTTTTTAAGGTAATCTAATCTAACCACCTCAAACTATCTGCAGTCACTGAAAAATGGCTCCCACTTCCTTGCAATGCCAGAAAGAATCTTTGAAATATATAGGCGCTGTAGCTACTTTGAACGAGAACAGAAGAACCACTTATAGGAGATTTCTATAAATTCTCATCTGTCACTCAGTTCTATGGATCTACTGTATGTTGAGAATGGATTGATAGGTGATGGTATGGATTTTATTTTATTTAGATATATGTAAAATATGTACATTTGCTAGAATTTGTGTTTTCACAATGTATGGGCAAATAATTCATGTAAATGTACACTTTAAGATTCTTTGGAGCTAGGTGTGATGTTAGCTAGAAGATGTATGGCAATGTTTGTGCACCTTTATATCCCGGGGAATTATTCAACAAACAGCATTTAAATGGAAATCTTATGAACAATAACATTGCCACGCCATGTACAGATATCCACAAAAAATATTTAAAAATATTTACAGATAATATTTTCTGAAAACTAATATAAGCATGATGTAAAGTCTGTCTTAGCAAGGTTTAGTTTAAAGGGAATTGTTCTCATGATCAGTTAAAAACCACAACTGTTGAATCTACTAGTGTTTAACCAGACATTTGCATGTTTTAAATATACACTCGTTATACTCCACTGGTCATAAACCAAAGCCAAACTCACGTTATTCATAAGCACCAAGACTATGGTAGTTTCTACTTTCATGTTTTTTAAAATTAAATTATTTGAGACTATTTGAAGAAAGTCCTATTTTTTTCCCCACAATTTGAGTAGTGGGTTGGGAATCCCTGATCAATCTTGACTCCTGGCTGACGTAAGCCATCAATAAAGTTACAAACCTATGGGAGCCAATGAACATTTTACTACCCAGCAGCCGGTGATTTTAAACAGTCCCTATTCATTTATACAATCCAATGTAAACACTGAGTCCTTCATTTCCATACTTGTCAGTAGAAAGCAGCCGCTATGTATTGTTAAAACCAACAAGCTAGTAGATGTCTGCAACCATCGTTAACATCTGTGTTTAATATCTTCATGCTTCTCATGTTTGTCATACTGACCACCACTTAGCATTTACTGTTTTGAAAATTGGACTTACGGCAATAAAAAGTGCAGTTTTCAATTACTAACAATAGCCACTACAATATAAAAATATTGATCTACTCTTCGTGATCAGTGCATTTCCACATCAAGACATCTGTTTCCATACATCTGACATGCCAGATTTAACAGGTATTTAGTGAACAGTAGAGACACCATGTTTGTAGATAGTCTTTAGTACTTTAATGTACTAAAATATAGAATATTTAGATTTTCCATGAATGTATGTATTTTTCATTTTGGCTTTAGTAAGAGTTTGAAATAACTTTCCTCTTTACACGTATGAGATCGGTGCCATTTTTAGTCAGATAGGGACAGGTGGTGAGTTTTACTAGCTAACATGGAATTCTGTGTTGCATATCATTTAGTATCTCTTATTAATCTCTATGGGAGATGCTAAAACCCTCATCAGCCTCTAATTATCAAACAGTAAAATGTTTGTTGCATGTGAAGAGCTGGTAATTAGTAATGATAGTGTTGACAGTTTTAGTGATTATCGAATTGTTGCAAGATGATCGCGACAAAAATTGAAACGCACCCCTAGTTGACAACCAACATACAAAATTCAAAGACAAAATTGATAAAAAAGGAGGATGTAACTATTGGGACTTTTGATTTGCAACTGCACTATTTTGACTTTAATATCAGTTTCTCAGCTCAACTCAACTAATTGGTTTAGTTACCAGGCCCATAAGTGAGCTTAAAGGGGACAATTTATATGTGCTCATTGGGGGAAGTTTTTTTGGGGGAAGCACAACCTGTGATGTAAGGTAGTTGTTTTCGTAAAAGGGTTCATCAGTATGACTCTACTTTCTGCCCAAACTAGACACAGAATATTGAAACAGTATTCCATAATAGATGGCATTTTGTTTTGCAATTATTAAGGGTGTAGACATATAAATTAATAAAATATTATATTATTCCATGTAATCTCAGAACATTTAAATTGGGTTGTTTTGTATTGGGTTGGTTCTCAATTTTATGACCAAGAATAGAGTGCACCTAGAGCCCATACTAACCACTCTTAGAGACATTTTATGTAGCCCTTATTGCAGTTTAATGGACCATACACATTTGTCTGCTGTGAGTGTTTAAAGCCAGATATGAAATTCTGCATAAGGGAAATTACTGGCTCAATCCACCATTTCTTCCAAACAGAGTTATTATGAAAATGAGGTCATTAAAAAACTGGATCGAATACTTTTTTTTTCCTTTGCTATAAAAAGGTAGAAAAAACTTGCACCTTGATGTTTTCAAAAAATACCCCATTACTCACAAATTTGGCCAGCACAAGCTGTTGAGTAGCCTACTTTCCCTGCACATTTGCGACTTAGAAGAAATATTTCAGTCTCTCAAACTGCAGTCACGTGATCTGCATTTTCCTGAATTTCAATGCATTCAATCTCTTCTCTTTCCTTTCTCTTTGCTCTTCTTTTTTTCTTGTGTCGCTTTTTAGAAGGTGGGAAAAAAGTTAGAAAAACAGGCAAAATGACAAAACAGTGCAGTAACGTGCAACTACCAGTTAGCAGCAAGCATTTGAACAGTGTGGAGGTCAAGTTTGAAGGCACGAAAAGAAGGGGTACCAGCCCAACAAGAAATGATACAACATTCTGGATAATTGCTGTGCCATGCTCCTTGAGTGACTCTTGTATGCATAGAGTTCTTGTGTGCTCGGTTGCCAATACAAATGTATAAAGCAGAGGAGAACAGTGATCTATGGCAAAATTCAATGCGTATGTAAGGCACATAATTGAAACACAATCCATATCAACATTCCATAACGTCATTAATCCCAACACACCCAATTCAATAGAAGTTACAGTAATAATCAACCAGAAATTCCCCAATGGGTGAATGACCAAGAAAAAAGTCAAAATTAATACTAACAAGACACTGAAGCCCGAGATCAGTACTGGCATAGTGACTGCCAATCCGTAGTGATCCATGAACACAAATGTTGGATTAAACACTATAAACTTAATGCTTTGTATTAGAGAAAGAGGCCTCAACTTCTCAAGGAGCTCAACAACTTCCCGTTGTGTGTTTTCACTTGTCTTGGCAACCAGATACATCCTAGAAGCAATAATATTCATCTCTTCACTTGACCTGGATATAATGATGTCATTCTTGAAGTGTTGGAATTCTGACCTCTTCAGAAAAACATTTTGAAGGACATTGATAAAATCAGTCTTATTAGAGGCGGATATGTTACCAGCCTTTAAATATTGATAATACTGTTCAATCCAAGACTCCGTGTTGAAGCCAAAGCTTATAGTCTTTAAGTCTTCTTGCACAGTTGAGTTCCAATATTCAAGAGGTTCGTAGATGTAGAACCCTATAACAGGACTATAATTGCTGAAATATTTTTGTTGAATAATTGCATAAGAAACACTGGGGGAGTAAGTAGGCAGAAGATTAATAATATTTGACCCTCCACTAATTTGAAGGCAGCCCATAAATGAAAATGATGCATAAATGAGATATAATATGACCACAAAAGGCTTCACATATGTATTAGTGATCCAGTCATTGTAGTGTTCCTTCATAAAATGTTGAATGAAGTGATTTTCATATGGATCTGGTTCATGGTGAGAAGAATGTTGATGTCCATCACTCATTATGGTCTGAAACCAATAAGGCTGTCTGTCCAAATATTCCTCAGAAGGAATTTTACAACAGAAAATACTATGATAACGGTTTTGTTCCAGTTGGCCAGCAAACACTAGACATGAGCCGTAGAAAGAGAACACATAGAAATAATTTAGGACAATAGTGATGCACATGTTTTGACAGAATATCCTGACAGCTTCAATGTTTGTGAAAGGGCTGGCTCCCATTCCAAATGTGATGATGTAAAGAGAGCTTGTCATGGTATATGACACCATAACATCTGAGTATGCGTCGGCCACTCTGTCCTTGAAAGGCAAACTTTCTCTGGTTCTGCGCCATCCTGAAAGAAGTTCAAAGACTCCTTTGGTGCCGTGACCTTCAAAACAAAAACAAAAAGTATTAGCAATAATATCATTGAAACACATCAAGCTTAGAGAAAGAAAATATGTTGTGTCCTTAAAACATGCTCTGTGCAATTTAATTTTTTATTAAAGGGAGTCATCTGCTAAACTGCTGAAAGGTTAAAAAACTAAGAAAAGCGATTTTTTTAACTTATCTCTTTCAGTTGTTTAGTAGATAAATCTCTGTTTGTTTTCTCCTATCCTCATCAAAATGAATGATCTGAAATGAATCAATTTTATTTATATCAGTTCCATTTATTCTTATTTCGTTTTCGTGTTGCGGCGATTGGGAAATTTGGATGCTTCTCAGTTGCCGAATCAGCCAGAATTCACATTCCAAAACAAATTGCACAAATCTAATAGACATCTTGACTTGATGTAAGATTGTTGCTTCTATTCTTTCCCATGAAAGATACCTTTAATTGTGATTTTCTTCTATTTCATTAAAAAAAAACTACAAAAATTCACTTGTATACAAGATTGCGATATTTCTAGTTTGAAGGTGAAAAAGGATTCAAATAAGTTAAATAAACCATAAAACACATAGTAGGGAAGAGGAAAGTATAAAGGGAAAAAACTGCAAATCAGATTAAAAAATAAATTTACTTTTTGAAATACACACATTCTGTAGGATTTATTCATTAAACACCAAATTGTAGAGAACTGGAAAGTGAATTTCAACATTTAGGACAAAACATTCTCCTACTTAGCTCCAGTGACAATGAGACTATTTCAGCAATTTGATGTTATATTTACAGGGCCCTCTACACTCTCTGTTCCTATGCTTCCAACTTGTCTTGTTGCAAATACTTGTCTGTTAGTTCGCCTATTGTACAGCTCTGCAGAATATGTTGGCACTTTATAAATAATTGTCAGACATTATGCTAGAAAATATTAATATTAATGTATTATACACACTGCAGGCCGCAATTAAGTAAAACAGTATCACGGCAATTTTGTAGCTGTTTGAAACCAAAAAGTGGTATAATGTTTTTTTTGACATTGATAAATGTTGAGAAAGAAAGTTATTAATTGAACCCTGAATACCTTATTATACAATGGTCTAATTCCATTTCCGACTTAAACCTCTGAAGCTAAAACAGTAAACAAATAGATTTTGTTGATTCTGCTGAGTTGTAAAAATCTAGCATTATTATTTTATTATTGTTTTATTATTTATATAGCGCCAGCAAATTTCGTAGCGCTGTATAAAGGGTGGACTAACAAGCACATAATTGTAGCCAGACAAATGGACGCACAGGAACAGAGGGGTTGAGGGCCCTGCTCAATGAGCTTACATTCTAGAGGGAGTGGGGTATATGAAATAGGTTCACTGAGAAGTTAGTAGGTTATTTTTGACAGTTGCAGGAGAGGAGTCATGGGGGGAGGGGAATGAAAACCCGTTAACAGTTTAACTTATATGCTTTCCTGAAAAAGTGTGTTTTCAAAGATTTTTTGAAGGAGAGGAGACTGGGTGAAAGTCTACAGCGAAGGGAAGGGAGTTCCACAGAAAAGGTGCAGCCCTGGAAAAGTCTTGGAGGGCGAGCATCAGATGTGGGAGTACGGACACAGGATAGACGTAGATCTTCGGCAGAGCGCAGGGGCCTCAATGGGACATACTATTAGGGAGGATAGGTAGATTGGAGCAAGTACCAGAATCTTAAATTGAGCCCTATATCTAACTGGAAACCAATGTAGGGACTGACAGAGGGAGAAGGCATGGGAGGTGCAGGCAGACAGAAAAATTAGCCTCACCGCCGCATTCATTATAGATTGCAGCGGTACAATCTGCCAACACGTAAGACCACTGAGAAGGGGATTGCAGTAGTCAAGACTAGAAAGAACAACGGCATGGACGAGCACCTTAGTCACGTCTGGTGTTAAATAGGGGCAGATGCGAGCTATGTTTTTGAAATGGAAGCAGCAGGATTTGGTGATCGACTGGGGTGAAGGAGAGGTCAGAGTCAGAGAGATCATTGAGGCAGCGAGCCTGCAAGGTAGAGGTGATGGTGGTGCCGTTGACTTGGAGGAAGACAGACACAGGAGTAGCAACATTTGAGAGAGGAAAGACCAGAAGTTCTGTTTTGGACTGGTTGAGTATAAGGAAGTGAGCAGCTATCCAGTTGGAAATCGCAGAGAGGAAGTCAGAGACATGAGTCAAGATGGGTGGAGAGAGATCAGGAGAGGACACGTAGATTTGTGTGTCATCTGCATATAAGTGATAATGGAAGACAAAAGAGCTTATGCGTTTACCAAGGGAGGCAGTATAGATGGAGAACAGTAAGGGACCAAGGAGAGAACCTAGGGGAATGCCAACAGAGAGGAAAGAAAGAAACACCTAAAAAGCGCTGGGAGAGGTAGGGGCAGCACCAGGATAGAGCAATATCCCGTAGACCCAGATTACAAAGAATGAAAAGAAGCTGTTGATGATCAACAGTGTCAAAGGCAGCAGAAAGATCAAGGAGAATTAGGATAGAGTAATGGCCTCAATATTTAGCAGCGACTAAATCGTTGGATACTTTGGTCACAGCTGTTTCAGCAGAGTGAAGAGCGCAGAATCCAGACTGAAGCGAGTCATGTAGAAAGTTGGATTCGAGGAAGTCTGTCAATCTCGCATACACAACTCTCTCAAGTATCTTGGAGGCAAACGGCAGTAGCAATATATGGGCGGTAGTTGGATGGGAAGTTGAGGTCAAGGTTGGGCTTTTTCAGAATTGGTGTTATGGTTGCATGCTTGAGCGGTGAAGGTAATGTGCCAGAGGAAAGGAAAAGATTAAAAATTTTAGTGAGAGGAAGAACAAGAGAGCGAGACAGGGTGCGGATGAGATATGAGGGAATAGGATCAAAGCAACAGGTGGTGGGGCAAGAGGATGGGAGCAAAGCAGAAACCTCTTCTGTTGTAGTAGGTGCGAATGAGCATAGAACAGTGGAATGAGTGCGGTTGGGTGATGTATTGGAAGATGTATTGGAAGAAGATGGAGAGAGGTTAGAGATCTTCCCTGATTGTCTAAATCTTCTCAATAAAGTGAGTTGCAAAGTTTGAGGTGGACAGGGTGGTAGGAGGAGGGGGGAGCAACAGGGCAAAGGAAAGCATTAAAAGTGTGAAATAGGCATTTGGGTTGGTGGGACAGTGTGCTTATGAGGGTGTTGAAGTAATTTAATTTGAGTCAGAGTGTGGAAGTGCAGCATAAATTTTTAGTGGAAGTCAGGTGCAGAGTGAGACTTTCTCCAACAGCGTTTAGCAGTTCTCGAACATTTTGAGATATCGGGTTCAACTTGGTGTGCCAGGGTTGTCATTGGGAGCGCTTGCTGCGTTTAAATGTAGGAGGTGCCATGATGTCTAGTTTAGAGGAGAGAGTGGATTTGTAGAATGAGGGTGCAGAGTTAGGGCAGGTTAAATTTGAGATGGGTAAAAGGAGAGTTTGGAGTTTAGTGGAGAAATGCTCAAACTCCTCAGGAAAGAGAGACAGGCCAGATGTTTTTAGGTCATTTATGTTATAAACTGTAAACAAGGCAAAGATTTTCAACTGGTGTTTACAATTTGCTAAAGGTGATGTCATTTAATTTATCAATTATGGATTCTTGATTATCTTATGTTACACCCACCAGATCTGATTGGAAAATAGATGTGAGTAACCTGAGATAAGAAAAACAATATTATGGTATAGAGAATAGAGAAAGAGATCATTCTTGAATATACTCTATTGATGACTCTTGAATCACTATCTTGATTCATCACTCTACTGGCTCATACTATTGGTTTTTCAATCACTCATCTTAAATTATCTCCTTCTCTTAAACCAACATTCTCTTAAACTGAATTTTTTCACCTAACTTTTAAACATTACTATTCTTATTCAATACTCCCCTGACAACCCGAACAATCTTACATTTTATGTAAGATTGTTTAGATATCCCTATATCTAATAAATATTTGTGAGGTGTGAAAAAGAAAGAGTGTTATAAGCTCTGTGTTTTTGCAAGTTGCAGTCAACGTAGAAAGATCATACAGAGAACAGGAGAAGTTAAACAATATGTATGTTTCTTCTCTTTGTTTGCAATGTTGTCCTGACTTTCCATTGTCTGAACTGGTTTATGATGTCATTTTCTAAAGTAAATAAATAAAAAACATTTCATGAAAAAAAGACAACACAAATTATAGGTAATTTTAAATATTTAAAAAAAAATGGTGTAAAATCCAGAAAAAAATGACAGTTCCCAAACGTGTCATGGTACGTCAATTAAAAGGGACACTGCGAGCACCAAGATCACTAGATTTTTCTAGAATAACTGCTTTCTCTTCTCAACTAGTGAGTTTAACATAAAGCATATTGCATGACAGAGGCTGAATTCTGGAATCCATAAAATAAACTGATCTGGTTATCTCGTGGCCTTTTATCACTGCAATCACCAAATGAGAGTGTAGAATTTTATGTAGAAGAAGTCTGATATTACAGCTGTTCTTCTACTGGCCCAGTGATTTTGTACAGAATATAAACTGCATGGAGTTGACATTTACACTAAAATAATCTTGTTAATAGGAAGTAATGAAAAGATTATTGTCTTTGAGTAATGGTATAATTTAAAGGATCCATTAACTTACATTCCAGTAAATTGTAATACATATAAAATGAAGACTCAAAATAGCAGCATCAGGAAAAAATATCTTCAAAAACCATATAGACATGCTTTTCCATATTTATAATACTTTAAGTCTTTGAAACGTGTCTCACTGTATTACTTTATTGTAACCCAATTAGAAAATAGCTCTACATAAATGTATCCATT